TTTTTTTTTTTTTTTCCCATATGAAGGATAATCTTGCAGGATATAATAGTCTTGGTTGAAATTGTTTCTCTCTTAAAACTTTCAATACATCTTCCCATTCTTTCCTTGCTTGTATTGTTTCCGTTGAGAGGTCTGGTGTTAGCCTGATGGGATGGCCTTTGTAAGTCACTTCTCATTTCTCTCTTGCCAGTTTTAGTATCATGTCTTTATCTGTGGTATTGGACAGTCTGGCTAAGATATGCCTTGGGGAAGATCTTCTTGGGTAGTGGGGAAGATCTCCTTGGGTAGATTCTATTTGGGGTTCTTTGTATATTTTGGGTCTGGATGTTTGAGTGTCTCTCTAGACTTGGGAAATTATCTTCCATGATCTCATGGAATAGATTGTCCATGCCCTTATTAGTTTCTTCATATTCTGGGATATCAATTATTTGGATTTTAGGGCATCTAGTGGAAACTAGTATTTCTCGTATATTATCCTCGTGTTTTTTTTTTTGTTGTTTTTTTCTTGATCTTTTTGGTGTTTTTTTCTAGGTCAGAGGTTTTATCTTCTACATCAGAGATTCAGTCTTCAGCATGGTCTAATCAACTTTTAATACCTTTTTGATTTCCTGTATTACAGACTTTATCTCTAATAGTTCCATCTGATTCTTTCTCAGAGTGTCCATTTCTTCTTTCACGTCCTGGAAGGACTTCCTAATCTCCTGTAGTTCATTTTCTATTTTCTGTTCCAAGTCATAGAATTTGGTAACCATGAATGTTCGAAAGTCTTTGTCTGACATTTTGGTAACGTCCTCCATGTTTACGAGAGATGGAGGGGAGTTACCATTTTCCTTCGATGGAGACATATTTCCTTGTTCATTCAGACCTGAGACTCTTCTTCTACTTCTAGCCATTGGAAGATGTATTCACTTTTGAATACCTCTTAAGGGAACATTTTTCTGACTAGGAGTGAGTGTGTTTCCCTTTTGCTGTGAATTGATGTTTGCTGAAGTCTCTCTTCTGTTGTTTTTACCAATGTGGTCTCAAGAGGGGTACTCTACTGAGGTGTCTGAAAAGCAGTATCTCCCTTTTCACAGGTGGATCAGTACAAGGGAGAATCCCAGAGAAACTTACATTACTAGGGAATTTCAGATATATAAAAATACAGAACGCTTCACGAATTTGCGTGTCGTCCTTGCACAGGGGCCATGCTAATCTTCTCTGTATCGTTCCAGTTTTAGTATATGTGCTGCCAAAGCGAGCACACAAATTTAACATCTTGATAGAATATCCCCAAAATAATAAAAATTACTTTAGTTTTCTCTGTTTTCATAGAATTATGTATTTTTTATTTCCTTTATATTTTCCATGATGTGTGTGTTTTACAGAGGGAACATTGTTATCCTTATCATCATAACAAAATAGTTTATTATAAAAAAAAATTTTAACATGCAACAAGGAGATGGCATAGTTTAAGGAAACCTATAGAGAATCTCATAATTACTTTTATAATACAAATTTTATTCCTTGATTTTTTTTATTTTTATGTTCAGAGTTCTGTATATTTGCTTTTTTATCTTTAAACAGGGTACACTTGCACTTAGTTGACAGTAACAAAAGCATTATATTTTAGAATGTTTTCCAGTTTCGATAAGAGCAATATTTTGAAGTATTTGTCATTTTTACTAAAACTTAAAAGTGTCAGGTGATTTACATATTGATTTCATGTATATGTTAGATCATACCTCAGGAGAACGATACCCGCTCCAGCCTGACGTATAAGTACATCATCCACGAAGACTCTGTACCTACAATCAACAGCAACAATGTCATCCGGGAAGAGTTAGATACTTTTGAATGGGCTTTGAAGAGCTGGTCTCAGTGTTCCAAACCCTGTGGTGGAGGTAACGATCAAACACATTTATTGTATTAAAATGTACTTCATGATTAACCTTAAGAACCATCTCTAATGGAGCCGCTAAGCTGAAAACACTAAGCATAACTACCAGAGCATAGGCATAGGTTTTTTTATTTTTTTTTTAAGGTTTTTGCTATAGGATCTGTGTGCTCACACAAGAGAGACAGAGAGAGACAAAGAGAAGGAAAATGAAAAATTAGCCCAAGGAGGGATGGCCAGATCACAATCTCTTCATCTCTATTCTCCTCTTGGGATTTTGGGTACAAACACACATTCTCCCAGCATGATTTTCAAGCACCCAGGTCCAGGACTCAAACCACAGCCAGCCCCGTGGAGATCTAGTACCTTAACCACCATTCCACCTGCTGGCCCCAATATAAAATATTTTTTTTTACTTTACTGAAATCTTAGAATCAGCAAAGAGTAGGCTCCCATTCATAACAGTGGTCAAGGGCCAGAAGATGGTGTGGTGGTTGATGCACTGAACTCCCGTATATCCGACCACAGTTTAAGTCCATGACCTGGCGACTTACTTTCTCACTTTCTCTCTGTCTCGCTCGCTCGCTCTCTGGTGAGATTTAAAACATGATAATAATAAGTAAATTTTGGGAACAGTAAGTGGTATGATGTTAAGGGTGCTGAACTCTCACATGGCTGACTGCGGTTCGAGTCCTGGACCTGCAGCTGGTTTCCTCACTTTCTCTCTCTCTTTCTTTCTCTCTCTCTCTCTTGCTCTGTCCCTCTCTGGTCAAATTAAGTAAATAAATAAAGTTAAATAAAATCATTTTTATAAAAGAAAACAGAGGTAGACAGCCTTAACCTCCTCTTGCCCTTTTCTCTGGGGTTCTTTATGTCTTACAGTCACTGAAGTGGTACTCTGTAATCACTCTGTTCTTTCCACCACAGAATGCTGCCTAATCTGGTGTACTCTTTTTCTCATATTTGTCCTCATTTTTACTTTCCCTAAATATGCATTTCCTTTCTATTGGTTCTAATAATAAAAATATATTATCTAATAATAAAAAGATATTAGCCACCTGCTGGCATGGTGGTTAAGGTAGGTAGATCCAACATGACCAAAGTCACAGTTCAAGTCCTGGACCCAGTGGCTTGGAAGATATGCTGGGTACATGTATGTGTGTGCCCAAAATCCCAAGAGGAGAATAGAGAATAAGGGATTGTGGTGTGACCATCATCCTCAGGGAGGAGGAGATTTCTCACTTTCCTGCCCTCTCTCTCTGTCACTCTCTCTGGCAAGTGCATGTGCCCTATAACAAGAGAAAAAATGCTATTAGTTATGAGTATGTAATTATACTACATACTTCAATCCAGATGCTGGTCTCAATGCCTAACATATCAATGTACAATACTAAAATGGCCCTATGAGATTGGTACTATTATTATTTTTGTTCTATTGGTGGTAAAACTGAAACTGAGGAAAGTTAAGTAATTTGCTCAAGACTAGGATTCAAACCTACGTAGTCTGGCTCCTGAGTACATGGTCTTACTTAGCACTCTGTGCTGCCTCTCTGCCCACTTCAGAGAAAATGGGTAAGCTGCACCCAGTATTCCTCAGTTTCTCTCACTATCCATTTGTCTAGTTCTGAACAGATGCTCCATGACCAGCCCAGTCTAGAAAAGAGAGGAGAAGGCAAGTGGTTCCACAAAATGGCAGTGGAGAATTGAGAACAACAGAAATTGTTCATAGTAGGAATGTCTGGGTAAACCATTTATGTTAACATTTAAAATTCAAGGAAGTATTTTTTTGTAAGAGGCATAAAACATTTTTATTTGGGACCAGCAGGTGGCATAGTGGTTAAAAGTACTGGACTCCCACATGGCAGACTGTGGTTTGAGTCCCAGACCTGGCAACCTGCTTTCTCACTTTCCGTTTCTCTTTCTCTGTCCCTCTCTGGTCACATTAAAAACTAATAACAAATAGAATTAAATAAATAAATAAATAAATATTCAAAAACATTTTTATTCAATTATTATTATTTTTTTTTTGGAGAGGTTTTCGCTATAGGGCGCGTGTGCTCGCCAGACAGACAGAGAGAGACATAGAGACAGAAAGCGAGAAATCACCCCCCCAGGGGGGATGGTCACGCCGCAATCCCTTCTCCTCCATTCTCCTCTTGGGATCTTGGGCACGCATGCACACACGCCCGGTGTGAGTTTTAAGCCGCCGGGTCCGGGACGAGAACCGCGGTCTACTACGTGGGAGTCCAGCGACATAGCCATTACGCTAATTGCTGGTTCCCTTATTCAGTTATTAAGAACAGTATTTCCTTATACAAGATTCTTATTTATTGTGACTCTCCCTTTCTGCTATGCTTTTAACATCTACTTGTTCACAAGATTTGTCAGATATGCCTTCTTTTTTTTAATGCCTTTTTATTGTAGTTGTTTGTAGATCTTTGCCATACGGTGCATGCACTTGCTGGAGATAGAGAAAGTGAAAGAGAGAACGTGAGAACTCACCCCCACCTCAGGAGGATGACCATGCTGCAGCCGTGACACTTCCTTTCTCCTCCTGTGATTTTGGACACACACATGCACATGCCTGGTCAAGCTTCTAAGTCCAGGACTCGAACCACATAGTTGGCCATGAAGGATCTTCTGCCGTAAACACCATGCCACCTGCTGGCTCCAGATGCCCCTTCTTTATATTTATCACTTCTATTTCTTCCTCACCAGGCTTCCCTCAAGATTGTTGCAATAGCCTCTTAATTAATCAACTAACTTTAAGTTTCTTTTCTTTGTTTCTTTCCAAGGATTTATTTCCTTTTTGAAGGGATAAATGAGTAGAATTTTACTATTTCCTTTATAAAAACCCCTGTCATGTGTTGCCCTGAAGACACACCATGTTTATGTAATATTCTTGCTGAAAGTGAATCATCTAAATCTAAATCTGTTGGGTCGTTGAGGGAGTCATGACACCTTTTTGCATATAAAATCATAGAAAAATATGTCATGACTTTCTCATCGACCTAATAATCATTTAAAGACAATTAAGCCCAAATTGCGGGACGTTTTATAAAACAACCAACTTGTACATCTCAAAAAATTAAATGCCATGAAAGACAAAAAAGAGGCTCTTACGCTATTTTTAATTGAGGGTGAAGAGACATAACAACTAAATGCATCATGTGAGCCTCAGTCTGAGGAGAGGAACCAATTGTTCCTAAGGCAGTTGTTCCTGTGAAATGTTGAATATTTCACTGTATTAAACAATTGTATATCTGTGTTATATTTTCTAAGTTTAAAAATTATATCATTGGGACCAATAGATTATTTAATGATTACGTCACTGGACTCCCATATAGTTGACCACGGCTCAAGTCCTGGACAGGCCCAGCAGCTTAAAACTCATGGCGTATTGTGTGCATGCCCAAGATTCCAAGAGGAGAATGGAGGAGAACGGGTTATGATGTCCTCATCCCCCCGAGGGGTGATTTCTCACTTTCTGTCTGTCTCTCCAGCAAGCATATGTGCCCTATGGCAAACAACAACAACAACAACAACAACAACAACAACAAAAAGTCTCTAAACAAAAAGTAATTATAATATAATGTGGGGCCAACAGCTGGCCTAGTGGTTAACACACTGGACTTCCACATAGTCAATTGCAGTTTGAGTCCCAGACTCAGAGGCTTGAAATTCATGCTGGATGTACATGCATGCCCAATATCCAGAGAGAAGAATAGGGGAGAAAAGATTACAATATGGCTATCTCCCCTTGGTGGTGGGGGGGGGTGATTTCTCACTTTCTCCCCATCTCTCCAGCAAGCACACACTCCCTATAGCAAAAATCTCTCTCTAAAAAAAGAATTAAATCATAATGTGAGGAATGTGCATACGATATATGTACTAAAATATTGGGTTGTTAGAAAAGCCTTGATGTATTTTTATCTCTTTCTCTATTATGCAAAAATGTGTCATGACTTTTCTGATGACCTGATAGTTAAGAGTGAAGGGTAATGATGTCTACAACGTAGTGTCAAGTGATTC